TTTTTTTTTTTTCTGGGCCAGCTTTAGCTCTGAGGCCTCGCTGCTGAAAACATGGATACAATGTTTTGGTCCGGCTGGGTTTCAGTCCGGCTGTTTTCTGGGGTTTTGTTTACCTTCTTATTTGCAACATAGTATATAGTTGCTTAGAGTTGCAGCTGAGAGGCTGGCAACTGAGGCAAGGACCGTTGGAATCTGCAGCAAGCAAGCCTCGTGCTCGCTTCAGTGCCTGGCTGCCGGCCGCCATCTTGGCTGACAGTTAATTTGCATATACTCACTGATTAGCCAATGAAAAGGGTAGCGGTCGTACGCTAATTACCATGTTTCTCTTTTATTAGTGTAGATAGACTAGAGGCCTGGTGCACAGATTTGTGCACTGGTGGGGTCCTTCGGCCTGGCCTGCACCCTCTCGCAATCTGGGACCCCTTGGGGGATGTCGGAGAGCCAGTTCTGGCCCAATCCCCGCAGGCTCGATGCAGACAGGAGGGAGCCTGATCCTGTGCGTTGAGCATTTGACCCCTGGTGGTCAGTGCGCATCATAGCGACCGGTCGAACGATCAAATGATTGCTTAGGCTTTTATATATATAGATAGTGGCTCTGAGTATTTTCCCCATCTACAGTCTTTTTGTATTTTTTCTTAACATTCATGATTCTGTGAGCTGAAAAATAATTTTTCACCTTTAGTAGCTATAAATCATAATACACTGGCAATGTGCTTGCATTTGTTTTTCTATAAAAATTTTGAACACATTTCCTCAGTTCTAAGATATTTTTTAAATGTTTAAAGTGATACATTTGAAACCAGAGTATACCAGTGATATGTACACTTAATGTACCACTGTTTCTTTTCCTAAAGTGGTGTTATGAAAATGGTTGTACTAGGAAGTTTATGATTTCATAGGGTTAACTTACCTGTGACAAATCTAAATATGTCTTGATGTCTTTTCTCTTGACTAAATGTTATATGGTATTTTTCCTTTTTCCCCTATAAAGTGTATACACACACACACACAAACACACACACACACACACACACAGTATATATTAATCCTCACTCAAGGATATGTTTTTATTGATTTGAGAGAGAGAAAGAAACATCAATATGAGAGAGAAACATTGATTGGTTGCCTCCCTTAAGTTCCCCGACCTGGGATTGAACCCACAACCTAGGTATGTGCCTGACTGGGACTCAAACATGCTACCTTTTGGTGTATAAGATGATGCTCCAACCAACTGACCCACACTGTCCAGGGCAAATCTTTTAATATATTTCGTTGTAATCATTTTTCTACATGTAGTGGTAGATATTTAGTGAGTTCTTGAAAACACCTGGGACATTTCTTTATAATAGTTGTCATGGGCTGTTTTTGGATGTAAAATACCACAATCTCCTGATATTACATATTTACATTAGCTAAAATCTGTGTAAAATATATTCTGTGCTTCACTTTAAAAGCCTTCCTATCTTCATACCAGGCTATAAATACTGATGCCTAACTAATTTTCTTTACCTCAACTTAATTGATTTTTCAGATAAGTTGCATGAAATAGGAAAGAAAAAAAATTACTGAATTTGTTATTTTAAATGATATGGGAACATGTTCAACGCTTTTTCGTTTTTAGTAAATGTGCTGTACTTTTTGTTTTATTTTCAGGATGAAGCAAGAAGCATTTCATTTGCACATCTTTCTTGGATATGGGATATACAGTTCCAGTGTTTTAGCAGCAACTGTTAGAGAAAAGATATGGGGGTCTTGGATTAATTGCTTAAGAAAAATTCCATAGTGGACTGTTTAGAAAGAAAAAGGAAAGATTCAGTTTGGAATTAAATAAATCACAAATTTAAATTTTGTTTAAAACTGTCTAGGATAGGATCTGATTTACAAATCTGGTCATTATTTTATGATTAAATAATTTGTTTTCATAGAGATTGTTATCCAATGTAAAGACTGCATATTTTTATTCAGCACTGTCATTTAAAATCTTCCTCCCATTTTAAAAATGATTTTTTTGAGAGCTCTGATATAAAACTTCCTATGGAATAAAATACTGATTTATTTTAACCAAATACTCACCAAAGCAAAGAAAGGTTTCAGACCTTTGAATCATTATGATTTGGTAGAGTAGTTATAATTTTAGGTGTATTGATGACTTAAGGGGTAGGAATGTAAAAAAAAAAAAAAAGATTCAAAACAAAAAAACAAATACCACTGGTTAGTATAATGGACAACTTATTCGGCAGTGTCACATCTTTAGAAATGTTTGGCCTTTCTAAGCTTGTGCTACTGGCATTTAACATAGTGCCTGTGTGCTTTAGGAGGGAATTCTAGTCTCAACTTAAAAGTTGTCTGAACACATCCCCATCCCCTGACCCCCTTTTTTGGTTTTGGGTAAACATTAGGGGTGTTAGTCTCAAAACTGTGAAGTGACATCTCAAAACAGTCCCTACTGGTAAGGATCTTAATGGCTTCACTTGAATTTAAACCAGCTCCAGATAGGAAAAAACCTAAGTCCCTTCATTTGCTTTTTCAGTGGGGTAGCACATCCCATATTTTAGAACAAGTAGGGGTGCCTTGCTTAAATAAAAATAGCATTTAATGTATAATTGTGTGAAGGGTTTATGGATAAAGCTGTACTAATGTCACATTGTGGCAGTACATTCTGCTTTCATATTAAATAGCTTGTTATTTAAATATTGGATCAAAATGGCTGGCTTGAAAATGTAGTCATTAATAAACTAATTTTATGTGCACCTGTGTAGGAGAATCAAAGTCCTGTATACTTTCTTTACCTTGTTCCTGTTCTCAGGGTCACTACTGCTATGTAGTTACCAAGAGATGCAATTCTAGATCTTAAAATCGAATTAGTCCAGATTTTTGAGAGGTGATATTTGGAAGAGAGATTATGTCTTCTCTCACTCAGTACATAACCATCTTTGACTACCAGCTAAGATACAAAATCACTGTACTGTAAATAGTTAATAAATGAAAGCTTGGTTCAGGCAGATTACCTAAGAGTATTTATTTTGGAGTGTGTGGATAAACCAAATATATTTTTATTACATCAAGTCCTGGTATATTATTATAAGGAGACATGATTGACTTTTAGTTGTGTTTGTCATCCGGTAAGAACATGACTTACCCGGTTTAACAGCTTCAGCGTTCCTACTTAGATGGAAATATGTTTTCATATATGTGTTCTGAGCTGTGCAAACCGGTCTCTAGCTGTATGATCTGCTAGAATGTGGTCTTTTCTCTCTCCCTTTAGCAGTAGGCATCCAGTTTGCTATGGAAAAAATCTGTAGGGTTTTTTGGGATTGGGGATGGTGAGGAATTAATTCATTTGCAATTACTTTATTTTGGAGCTAATGAATTTCATTTGCATATCCCTGGGAAAAGAAAGAGCAAAAGCCTTAAAGTGTTGTGTGGTGGGTAAGCTGGAAAGGGTGTGTCTTCCTGCCACACTAGTGGCTGAGTTCTCTTTAAAAAGGTGGCCATTCTTGGGAAGTCTTATGAATTCATATACTTTTCCTAGCCTCCCTTTAGCAAGTTACTGCTCATAATTTAGGCTACTAAATGAATACTTGCTGAGAAGGCAGGTGTCAAAAAGCATGTGTAAAATCGCGTGATAGAATAAAAGTGATCTTTTATTTCTACCCAATCAAAAGACATATTTCTCTTTCCCCAAATTTGATAAAACTGGGTTGTTTGTCATCAATTGCTATTGAAATAAGTAATGACTGAGATTTTCTCTTCTATTTGTGTCTTTATATTCTCCTTTGTGGGAAAGCTATCAAAATTGCCAGATTGGCTATGGCTGGGTTACCCATATACTGCTTTAGTTAGCTACTTCTTAAGGAGCTGTAAGGGAGGACTCTGATAAGGAACCTTATCGAAGTGTAGGTTTTTGTGTAGATCCCAAGGAGGAAATTGCTAGATTGTGATCTGATCTGAGATACTCACTGATGCCAGAGAAGGAAGCAGAACCCAGAGTATTTGTCCCTCTCTGCCTGGGTGAAGGCGGCCTATGCCAGGTGGGAGGGAGACGGGGTGAACTATGGAGCGGAAGTCTGAAGCCTGGACACATCTGCAGGGTGGGGAGGAAGCAGCAGGAGAAAGCACTTCCATCTACATGACATTTGGAGGCAAGGGCCCTGCGTATTAGTCAACATGCCCTATTGGCATCTGCCCTGAACCATCCCTCAGCAGATTCTCATTTGGGGATTTTTCTTGGGTTACATCCTATTCATTTTACAATTTAAAACATTTTGTTTTCACAGTTTCCCCTAAATCATGTGAAAGGGTTTATATTCAATTGGTAGGACACATTATAGAGCAGAATGGTATTTCAGCTAAGAGGCAGGCCTAAGTTCCATTGCCTTTCAAAAAAAATAGCCCTAATGTGGTAGGAATGGACTTTTCCCTCCGGATTCTGCAGATTAGAAGATACTCTTTGAAGTTTGTACGAAGGGAATAAAGCTGCTATGAACAGTCGTGTAGGTTTTTGTGTGTACATAATATTTCAACTCATTTGGGTAAATGCCAAGGAGTGGGGTTGCTGGCTCATATGGTAAGACTGTTTAGTTTTAATAAGAAATGCTAAACTAGCTTCCAAGGCGGCTGGCTGTACCATTTTACATCCCTACCAGCAATGAGTGCCAGTTCCTGTAGCAGCTCATCCTTGTCAGCACTCGGTGTTCTCAATGTTTTGAATTTGAGCTATTGTAATAAGTGTGTCGTATCTTGTTTTAATTTGTGATTCCATAGTTTCATAAGAAGTTGAGAATCTTTTAACAGATTTGAATCTGCATATTATCTTTAGTGAAGTGTCTGTTCAGATCTTTTGCCCAGTTTTTTAGTTGGGTGGTTTTCTTCATTTTAGGAAGGGGATATAAGAGGGTTTTATCTGGTGTTTAAATCTTGATGATATGAAAAATAAACAAGATAATTTTTAAATTTGTATATATTTTATTTTTTGAAGGAAATAATATTCTCGAGATATGAAGGGGTGTACTTTCTCTGATCCTGTACTTCAGCCACTTACTTTCCCTTAGGCAGCCCTGTCATCACTTTCTAATGTAAACTTCCAGTGATATTTACTGTATAGATAAGCAAATATAATAAACATTTTCATTCCTTTTTAGCATGCTATACATACTATTCTGAACCCTTTTCTCATTTAATATATCCTAAAGATCATTTGATGTCATTACACAAAAATCTTTCCTCTTTTTTGATTTTAATATTTTTATTTTTTATTAATCTTAGAGGAAAGGAGAGAGAGAAAGAGAGAGAAAGAGAGAGAGAGAAGCACTGATCAGTTGCCTCCTGCATGAGAGAGAGAGAGAGACACTGATCAGTTGCCTCCTGCATGCGCCCCAACCAAGAATCGAACATGCCACCTGATGTACGGGATGAAGCTCTTACCGTCAGGGCTTCCCTCATTTTTTAAAAGTGATTGTACACTATGGATATATGCAATTGAATCTGTCCCTTACTAATGAACATATACATTGTTTCCAATCTTCTGCTATTATAATGCTGAAATGAATTACCTTGTATACATTTGTCATTTTATACATACATAAATTTCTCTCTGTAGGATAAATGATCAGAATATGTGCACTTGTAATTTATATCAAATTAAATTTATATCTGTATATTTTTTCTTAGTTTGCACTAGCGGTGCAAGTGCCCATTTCCCCATAGCCTCACTGACACAGTGTATTAGCAACTGTTCTTTGCCACTCTTAGAGGTTAAGCGTGTGTGTGTGTGTGTGTGTGTACACTTGCAATAGTATTCTATGAGGTAGCATTTCACGTTTAGAGCTTTTGAATTTCCTTTTCTGTTCTCTTACAATCCCTATGTATTAATCATCTTCATTAATTTTAAAGCAAATTCAAACCATATTATCATTTGTATTTCAGTGTGCATCTCTTTAAATAGGACTTTAAAAATATCATCATTCCTAAAAATACTAATTGTTTTTATCACTAAAAATATCTATTTGAAATGTCTTTTTTAAAAAAACCTTGAGTCAGGATCTAAATAGTCTACACATTGCAGTTGGTTACTCTGCCTCTTTTTCCCCCTGTGACATTTTTAAATACAAAATTTCAATCAAACAATAAAGTGACATTTTTAAATATGAAATTTCAAGCATACAATAAAGGCAACTATAAGCATGCCTATACCTATCACCTCGAAAAGGTACTATTTTGCCATACTTTATCATCTGTGCATCCATTGGTCTATTTTCTTTACGTGTGTCAAAGTTATAAATATCTATATTTGACTCTTAAGCTTTTGGGCATATATATTGTTAAGTTTTTACTTGTAAAATTTACAGTGAAGTGAACAAATGTTAAATGTACCATTAGATGAGTTTTGATGTACAACTTGTAACCCAAATTCCCAGCAAGCTACGGAGCATCATCACATCAGGAAGTTTCTTCACCCAGTTTCTGCACCTCTCCCATCTCTTCTCCCTGTTAGGATTTTCACCATGGATTACTTTAGCCATTTTAGAGCTTCATATAAATGGAATCCTATAGTATGTGTTTGTGTGCAAATTCCTCTTCAGCGTGTTTTGAGATTCATCCCTATGTTTCAGCTTGGTTTCTTTTCATTGCCGAGTAGTATTCTATTGTATGAACATGCCACAGTTTAACTTTTCATGTGTTAGATGAACAACTGGTGGACAATGGGCTGTTTCCCATTTGGGCTATAATAAATAAAGTTGCTCTGAACCTCTTGTGCAAGCCTTTTTGTGGACCTATGTTTTAATTTCTTTTGAGTGAGTACTTAGCAGAATATCCTGAGTTGTAATGTTGGTATATTTTAAGTTTTACTAGAAATTGACATACCTCTTTCCAAAGTGGTCATCCTATTGTACATACTCACAAACAATATGAGAGCCACTAGGTCTACATTTAATGGTGTCATCCTGTAATTTCAACCATTCTGTGTGTAGTGGTACCCCATTGTGGTTTCAATTTGTCTTCCTTGACAATCGATGAGCATTTCTTTTCATAAGCTTTTGGGCCAAATTTCTTTAGTGAAGGTAAAGTGCTTGTTTCCTATTTTAATCTATATGTTTACTCTTCCATTTACTTTTTCCTTTATTTTTGAACGAGTTAAGATTAACCTGTAGACGTTTCCACAATCTGAGTTTTGCTCATTGCTTTTCTGTGATTATTGACACTTTTCTATTGTTTGGTCTTTTTCTTAGTTAGCAGAAGCCCGTTATTTTTGCTATGAACTAACTTTAACAACCCCCATCCCCCCACCCCCCACACACTTTGTCACTGTTTTTTTTTTTTTTTTTTTTTTTACAACCCAGGTACATGCCCTTGACCGGAATCGAACCCGGGACCCTTGAGTCCGCAGGCCGACGCTCTATCCACTGAACCAAACCGGTTTCGGCTGTCACTGTTTATTATGGCAGGATATTTTTATGTGGTGGAATTCTTAAATCTCCATATATATATATATATTTACTTATTTATTGGTTTCAGAGAGAGAGAGAGAGAGAAACATCAATGATGAGATTCATTGATTAGCTGACTCTTGCACGCCCCCTTCTGGGGATCGAGCCTGCAACCCAGGCATGTGCCCTTGACCGGAATCGAACCTGGGACCCTTCAGTCCACAGGCCGATGCTCTATCCACTGAGCCAAACCAGCTAGGGCTTAAATCTCCCCTTTTATGGCTTCTAGGTTTTGTGTCAGAATTAGGACATCCCAGTGAGAGGATTTTGAAAGCACCTGGTGATGAGGCATGAAGGCCTGTAGCCAAGGCAGACTAGAATATGGAAGGATTCAGTGAAAAAGGATCACCAAGGTACGTTTAAGATAAGCTTTTCAAGTGATCCAGAATAATTTGAATCCCACAGGTGACACTGCACAAGTATATTCAAAGACTTGTCCCAAAACACACCTGGTTCTAATTGAAATACAAGAGGCTCACCACTTCTCTTTTTGCCATTTGGCAATGACATTTGGGAATAAAGGCCACAAGCAAAAGAGAAACTTGAGTTATTCATAATTTCTGATAGTTTGGCTGAAATTCCATTTATTGCCCCCATAAGAAGGCAAATGAAATACAGGTGATAATATTATGCCGATTTTAACCTGCTCTAATTAATGAGTAAATTATTTGTGGTAAATGAGTATGAGTGATACTGTAGTGCCAGAAAGCAGCACCCCACAATGGCAAGGCAATACTGCTGCCTGGAGACTCATAATTTTCCATCTCTCTGCCTCCTGGAGGACTGAGTGATCTGTTTACCAAACTTAATTAACTCTTAGGAATGTGACATCCTCAGCCATGCTTACAACTGGTCAATGGTTCTTTTAACTAGTTTTATATTTCAAGATAATAGGTTGTCTTTAAAGAATATATATTTCTCTTAATTTTTAGGGAGGAGGAGAAAGGAAAACATGGATGTGACAGCAGAAAACAGATCAAGCTTGGGGATCGAGCTTGAAACCTGGGCATGTGCCCCAGCCCATGTGTGCCTGACTGGAATTGAACCAGTAATCTTTTGGTGCATGGGGAGACGTCCAACCAACTGAGCCATAGCAGCCAGGGCAACATAAAGTTTGTCATTCTAGGCATAGCAATTGTGCTTGGCAGATACTTGACTTCTGACTTGGTAGATTGACTGACATGCTTACAAAATCAACTGTCCTGAGGAATGTTGAGAATAAAATGGAAGACTTCAATAATTGACAATCCCCAAGCAAACAAATGCCTAAGAACCGTTAAGATGGGACCTGGGATGACATTTGGGGGTGGGGGAGAATATATTATTTGAAAGATGTTTTACTAGAAAAGCATGGCCACTTATTTTTGAAGTATAGTTTTTTAAAAAGTGGCATTTTCTGTTGAGCAGAGCTGAAATGAGGCTGTGATAGTGGCCCTTAGAGCTACTTGGAAATCACTAGGCCATACCTGGAGTCCTTTCATAAAGTGAATTTATTTCTAGGCTCTCCATTCTATTCCTTTGGTCTCTGTCTTTATCACAGTACCACTGTTTTGACCACCATATCTTTGTAGTAAGTTTTCAAATCAGGAAATGTGAGACTTCCAACTTTGTTCTTTTTCAAGATCGTTTTGGCTATTTGGGTACCCCTTAAGATTCTGAATTTTAGCATGGATGCTTCTATTTCTACTATCGCTACTATATTGGGATTTTTGGTAGAGATTACATTACAGCCTCTATATGGCTTTGGGCAGTATTGTTATCTTAAAGGATATTAAGTCTTCCGATTCATGAACATGGGTGTGTGTGGGGGGGGTGTCTTTCCATTTATTGGTATCATTTCTTTTGGCAATGTTTTATAGTTTTCAGTGTAAAAGTTGTTTGCCTCTTTGGTTAATTCTTGTTGATGCTGTTGGAAATGGTGGAAAGCAAATTTTAAGGACAATAGGCTTAACATTAAGTCAAGGTTTTCATGACTTGGTCTCCTTGCTCTTGTGGGCTGCTGCACTAATAGATCTTTGGAGCTTCCAAAAAAAAAATCTCATGTCCAATTACTTATTACATCTTACAGTCTATGTACAGAGCTGCCTGTTTCCAATTTAATTGAAACTAATGATAAAATAACTTGCTAATATAGGATAATTCTCTAAATTATCCGTGGCACCTAGAACAATGCTGGCATATGTAGATAGCCAAAAATAAGGAGAATGAAGAATCACAAAAAACAAATATTATTTAAAGGGGAAAAAAGACAACAAGCTAGGCTAGATTTATTAGATTTTATTTTTCCTTAGTACTCTTAAAATTCAGCTTCAAATAACACACCAGACTTCTGAAATAACAACTCTTTCCCAAGCTGTAACCCTTTTTAGGAGACAGAATTTATCAAATACAACGGTTCCAGGATGTTTCCACTGAGAATTCTAACCCAGTTACAATCTAGGCACTTGTAACATAATGAATATAGCA